GTCTCAGCATTGCAAACCTCAGCTATAGGGAGGTGTTTGATGCAAACTGCATCTTCTGGATGTAGCCTAGTGCTGAGGTACACCTGCATGAGAGTAGGTGAACATGTGCAAGGAATTCACTCATCTCATTGAGGTAATGGTAGTCACTGGTGCTGAAGTAAAGTTAATATCAGATCCTTGAATGACCATGACAAACGTGTTTTGAGTCTCTGACTGGGGAGGAACTGAGCAGGAGCTGGCTGTAACTGCTGCACGTTTCTGCTCCAGCTCGATGTGAGGAAGCCATGCAGTACAGACACAGCCCTACAGGGGTTCAACAGGAGCATGCCACGCCTGACCGTCAGCAGGGATGTTTCCTGCCTCTGTCACACTGCTGTGTCCCTTATGTCCATGTAAGTTGCAGGTATCTTTGTATGCATGTAAGCAGCAAGTATGGCCATGCAGTTCACGCACCGAAGCAGAAATAAGCACGACTGAATATGACATCAGATTCTCCTTCTCTGTTTCCCTGCTGGATGAGGAGGCTCAAAAGTCTCCCTTGCACTTCCACACAATGGGAACCTCCACAACACTTTGACAGCAGCCAGGGGAAAATGCATCACACTTACAAAGCACAGTGTCTCTCACTGCACAAATACTGCAAAGCAACCCCCCACATATTAGAAACCACAAGCAAGGCACAGACTGTACAAAAACTGACAGGCATGAGCATAGCTGAAGGGAGGGCAGTAGGGAAGAGGAAGAAAACAAATAGGAAATGCCATACTCAAAAGAATGCAGCATAAACTCTGAGCAAATCAAAGCAAGGAAAAACTTCTGAACCCACTTGAATTTTAGCTGCCGAAGCCTCCTGGCTACTTGGCTGCTCTGCCTGCGCATTGCTATGCTTAATTTGCCCCACTGGATTTGCACCTCCTGTGAGTGACTGAGAGGAGCCATTGACTCAGGGAGGACTGATTTAGTGCGGCAGGAACCAGCGGCCTGGCAGAGGCTGCGGGAGAGGCCCAGCCCAAGGTAGGTAAACACGGTGGTGGTTTAACCCGGCAGGCAGCTGAGCACCACAGAGCCACTCGCGGACTGCAGCGGGCTGGGGAGGGAACGGGGAACAGTACAGCCCAAGGGTTAGACAGAGACACTTTAACAGAACAGGAAAGGATGCAAAGTAATAGTAATAGTTAGTAATAGTAATAAGGAACATACAAACCAAGTGATGCCCAATGCAATTCCCCGCCATCCCCTGACCAGTGTCCAGCCAGTTCCCAAGCAGGAGCCCCTGGCCAGCTTCCCCCTAGTTTACACACTGACCATGTGTCATATGATACAGAATGTCCCTTTGGCCAGTTGGGATCAGCTGTCCTTGCTGTGTCTTCTCCCAGCTTCTTGTGCTTCCCAGCCTCGTTGGTGGGGTGGGGGGAGAAGAGCTGAAAAGTCCTCAACTTAGTGCAAGCACTGCTCAGCAACAACTGAAACTGTGTGCTACCAACAGTCTTCTCATCCTAAATACAAACACAGCAATGTACCAGCTACAAGGAAGAAAATTAACTTTATCCCAGCCAAAACCAGGACATAGCAGAAGAGGGAAGGATGTGGTGGAAGAACAAAAAAGAGAAGAAAGAGTAGGAGAGATGGAAGAAACACACAGCAATGGATATAAAAAACAGAATGAGAAAGAGGAAATTAAACACAGTACAAAAAAAGGGCTGGATGCTGGATTTAGTAAGATTTTTCTCCAGAGTCCACATGGCTGTAAACTTCTGGTGTGCTCCAGTTTGGGGCTGGATACTTACTGCCAGTGGGAGCACCCGGGCAGCCTCTGTCCCACACAACCCTTCTTGCTGCTCCATGGTCCCTGTGTACAGCTATGAAGAGCTGTTGCTGGGTGGAGGGAAATTAAGCCAGTTATTTTTTCTTGATTTGTTTCTCTGGAAAGTCCTTTCCCTGGAGAGACATAGGCCTGTAAAAATGACAGGATATACTCAGTAAATCTGTAATAGCTGCTATGAAAGCCAACAGCGTCAAATTCCTGCTTTGCTTTAGCCAAGGTCCCAGTGATTCCCTACTAAAAGCACTAAAAGTGAGAAACCAGTAAAGCATTCCTCATGACATGATGCAGGGGTTATTTCCCAGTAGGCAAACAAAGTTCTGTAACTCTACATTACACTGAACAAAATCTAAAAAAGGAAGATACTGCAAACTTCTTCCTGTTTCCTGAAGTACATCCAGGATATGTAGGCACAGCCTGGAGTGCAAATGCTGGCTCATGGTTTGAGACAGGGAAGTGTGTGCAGGGAAAGGGTCACAGTCTAACCTGAACTCCAAACAAACTCAACCTATCTCAAGTGTTGTCAACTACTTGAAATTCAGGACAGGTTTGTTAAAAGGTTCTTCAAAGCTTTTGAAGTGACCTTTTCTTGAGCAAATGTAGGTTCAGTTAGTTTCCCATCAAAGTTGTGTGAATATGTGGTAAGACATGAAACCAAGTGAGAAAAGGCACTATTCATTGACTTTTCCTGTGGCATTTGCTGAATGTTGTGAAAGCCATAGATCAAAGCAAAATGCTCGGTGCATGTCCTTAAATTAAATGTAATTAAACAAACATTTTTTTTTGTTTGCATAAATCCCTGAAAAGCAAAACTGGCCAATTTAAACACACAATAGTGTGTTAGCATCTTCTTTTTCAAAATTTTTGAAATTTTTTGAAAATTTTCATAAATCAAGGCGTTGAATCAAAAACATTTTCCTCCTCATCATAATGCTGCTGTGTAAAGAGTTACCCTGGGAAAAATGTAGCAGTCAGATTCCCCATCTAAAAAAGTACTTTGGATTTTTAAAACTGAAGTACCACAGAAAAACTCATACACCTGTAAAACTAAGAGAAAACCAACGTAGTGGATAGCTTGAAGTCTAGAGCCCTGTTCCTCCTTGTCACCAGCTGGGGCTCAGCTAAATCAGTAGGGATGGAAAGTCATTACTATCATTACTGGCAGCCGTCAAAGCTTGCTGGTGGGTCTCTCTCCAATTCTTGAAGGACACACAAAATAATTTCTGTCATCAGAAATGGCACTACATGGTACATATTGGCAGTCTCCAGAGAGCTGCATATCACTAAGGACTGGGTTTCCCTCTCAGCTGTTGTTTTTTATGACCAAATTTTGAGGCATACAAGTAATGAACAAAACCACTGCCGCTTTCTGAAGCGCAAGTTCCGGCCAAATAGTGCCTGGAGCTTTCATCCCAACACCTTTTCTTCCCACCTCCCCAAACCACCACAAAGTAAAACGTCAAGTCAATTTACTTGAATGAAAAGAAAGCCACGAAGACAAGAAACTGAGGAGGGGAAAAACCCTGCGACGGGAGCTGTCTATCAGGCCTGGCGCGGGCAGGGGCCTGGCCGCGGGTCCGCAGTGCTGAGGACATGAGCCCCTCTGCCGGGCACGGCCTGGCCGCGGGGACATCCCGGAGCAGGAGCAGGAGCTGGAGGAGCCCGGCAGGCAGCGTCATCCTGTCCCCCGCGGGACACCCCTGGCACCGCCCCGCCCCCGGGGTCACGGCATCCCTCTGCGGGAGAGGCTGCCCATCCACAGCGCCCACCCCGCCTCGTCCTAGTCCCCGTGCGGTCCGGTCCGGTCCGGCGCCGCGCCGCCCGCGGAGCCGCTGCGGGGCCGGGGGCAGCGCCGGGGCAGAGCCGGGCTGTCCTCACGCCGAGGCCGGGCCGGCAGCCGCAGGTGCGCGGTGGCGAGCCGAGCCCGCCCGGCGCTGCCCCGAGCCCCCGCAGCGCTCCCGCCGGCCCGGACGGGCCCCCCCGTGCTGCGGCCCCGGCAGGGTCCCACAGGGCGCCTCATCATTCCCGCTGGTGTGGGAATGCACGGGGAACAGCACACGGGCCCGCGGCACTTACCGGAGCCCTGCGCACCGTCCTTGCTGTCACCCTTTGGGCCGTGGCACCGGGCTGGCGACGAGACGACCGGGCTGGGCTCCTCGGAGCGGCGGGGCTGCGGCTGCCTCCCCTCCCCGGGCGGGCGGCACGCAGAACACCCGCTGAACGGGAATGCCGCAGCCAGGTTAATCGCATCCCTCCTCTCCGCATCCCCCCACCCGCTGTCCCCCTCGCCCTCTCCCCCTCCACTTTTCGTGGCCTTTGGAGGGGGTTTTGCAAGCTTTCGCCTCTCCTTTGAATCCGGCTTCTCTACCTTCCAGCCTTGAAGGCGACAAGAAAAACCCCAAACTTGTGTTGGGAACAGTAATCTCATTTGCAAAGAAAAATCCCTGGAATGGGGACTCATTGTAGCGCCTTTGGGCAGCAGACCCAACTGCTGGGCTATTTCAATAAAGAAGCGAACTGCAGCAGAACGCCAGTTGGCTCCTCCAGCAGAGTTCTCCTAAATCATGATAGACAGATTGCGTGAAAAACAGGAATTCCAAAGAATTTCCTGCCCTGGGAACAGAAGTTAAGGCTATATTTAACAACATCTGAAGCTGTCAAGAATGCTTTGTGGTTGGATAACAGAGCAGAAAAATGTGAAAAATGCGGGCTACTGCTATACCAAATATGGAAATATTGTTACGTCTGGGGTCTAAATCCCATCTGGAAGTACTTACAGCCAGGAAAAGAAAAGACGCCACAACAGAAGCTGAAACTCTCCTCCCTATCCCCAAATATTAAACTTCAACAATTCAAGGGCACCCAACCAAAGTGGGGGGCAGAGAACCCGGGGGTACACAGGCTGAGGGGGCTGCTGGCTGCGCGGCCATCCCGTTCCTGGCCCGGTGCCGCCGGGCATCGCCGGCTCCCGGGCTCCGGGAACCGCTTGGATGCTGGCTCGCACCGCAGCAGCAGCACGGAGCGAACCCCGGCACGGCCGGGCGACCCTGCGGGCCGTGTCACAGCGCGGGGCAGCCGCGGGCGCTCACGGCGGCCCGGGGAGCTGCCCCGCCGCTGCCCGCAACGCGCGACGTCAGCGCCGCGGCGCACGCGGCGGCCCCGCGCCCTATATAAGGCGGTGGCGCCCGCCGCCGCCTCAGACCGCGCCGGCCGCGCTCCCGCTCTCCTCTCACACGGCTCCCGCTGCACCGGCGCTGGACATGGGCTCTGCGGGCACCCGGCCCGCTCTGGCGGCCGCTCTCCTCTGCCTGGCCCGCCTGGTAAGTGCCGCGGGTCTTCCCGCGGTCCGGGGGAGAGGGAGGGAGAGGAGGCGGGTCGGGTGGCTCCGCTCGGCTCCCGGCGCTCACCGGACGCTCCGCTCCGCTCCGCAGGCTCTGGGCTCGCCCTGCCCCGCCGTGTGCCAGTGCCCGGCGGCCCCGCCGCAGTGCGCCCCGGGCGTGGGGCTGGTGCCGGACGGCTGCGGCTGCTGCAAGGTCTGCGCCAAGCAACTGAACGAGGACTGCAGCCGATCGCAGCCCTGCGACCACACCAAGGGGCTGGAGTGCAACTTCGGGGCCAGCCCCGCCGCCCTGAAGGGCATCTGCAGAGGTAAGCGGCGACCCCGCTCGCCCGGGACGGACCCCGCGCCCCGCGGTGCGGGGGTTCGGTAATTTCGAGCCCATGTATGGTTATGCTTTGTTGTCGGTAGCTTGGCAGAAAGGCACATGACTTCAGCAGTCTGGAATGCGATTCAGTATGTCTGGGCTCCGCTAAACGCACATAAGGAAAAGTGATTCCTGACTAAGTTATTGTTCTGGCCCCGCGTCCCCGGGGGGTTGTAGGGAGCTCCGCCGTACATTGAGTTTAAGAGACCAGCAAATACCTGTGCTTAAACCAGCGGTTCTCGCCGCTCACCCCCTTCTTTCCCTTCCTGTTGATCTCTGCAGCACAGTCCGAGGGAAGACCGTGTGAATATAACTCCAAAATCTACCAGAACGGCGAGAGCTTCCAGCCGAACTGTAAACACCAGTGTACGTGCATAGATGGAGCTGTGGGCTGCATCCCGCTCTGCCCGCAGGAGCTCTCTCTTCCCAACCTGGGCTGCTCCAGCCCCAGGCTGGTCAAAGTCCCCGGGCAGTGCTGCGAGGAGTGGGTCTGTGACGAAAGGAAGGATGCACTGGAGGAGCTGGAAGGCTTTTTCAGCGAAAAGTTTGGTCCGGATGATTCCGAAGGCGAATTAACCAGGAACAATGAGCTAATTGCCATTGTGAAGGGAGGCCTGAAAATGCTACCCGGTGAGTGTGGGTTTATCTGGGTGACAGTTTAGGGGAGAAGGCTAGAGGGTGGCTAGACCTTAGACCCCAAGGGGTCTAAGAAAGAAACCTAGTGAGAGGTTATATTTAGACTAACCCCTCCTTTTCTTTTCCAGTTTTTGGATCCGAGCCACAAAGCCGAACTTTTGAGAATCCCAAATGCATCGTGCAAACAACCTCATGGTCCCAGTGCTCAAAGACGTGTGGAACTGGCATCTCCACAAGGGTGACAAACGACAATCCTGACTGCAAGCTCATCAAAGAGACCAGGATATGTGAAGTGAGGCCATGTGGCCAGCCCAGCTATGCCTCCCTAAAGGTAAATACAGATTCTTCTGGTGTTCCTCTTCTTTCTAAGCTGCTTCAGGTAGTCGGTAAAGGCTGCAAACGAATCTCCTGCTAATAATGTTATCGCCTTTCCTTTGCAGAAGGGAAAGAAATGTACCAAGACAAGGAAGTCCCCCTCCCCGGTGAAGTTTACTTATGCTGGATGTTCCAGTGTGAAGAAGTACCGGCCCAAGTACTGTGGCTCCTGCGTGGATGGCAGGTGCTGCACACCCCAGCAGACCAGGACTGTCAAGGTCAGGTTCCGCTGCGATGACGGGGAAACCTTCACCAAGAGTGTCATGATGATCCAGTCCTGCCGATGCAACTACAACTGTCCTCATGCCAACGAAGCCTATCCCTACTACAGACTAGTCAACGACATTCATAAATTTAGGGACTAACTTGTGTTGGGGGTGGGATGCAAAACAGAATTTTGAAGTACCCAGCCATGGAGAAAGGACCTTTGATGGAAGTGGTGCCTTGCCCATGTGAGGGCAACATTGAGATGTTACAGGAGTGCACTGTGCAACTGGACACTAATGCAACAGAGATTTAAGCATACTTAAAGCTTCATAATACTGGAGCAACTTTACTGCTTCTTTTTGGAGCACCTTATCTAATTATATACTGTTTTCTGTTTGTAAGTGATCAGATTAATGTTTTGTTCCGGTTATGAAAACTTTTCTATCCTGTTCAATTTAACACTATGCTTCTTCCCCTTCCTTCAATCTTCTCCCACCCTTTCCCAACTAAGTTGGAAGTTACATTCCTTCCTGAGGTGGGCACCTGTGGGGTGTTCACAGTGGCAGCTATTATGTACCAACTGTAGTTTAATGGCAAACAGAAATCAGTTGTTTTAAAGCTGAGTATTTTATTTATCAAACTGTAGCTTATTGTTTGTTTGTTTCCTCTGAGTTTTTTTTACCCCTTCCAGCCCCTGTAATACTGGAATAAGTTGTAAATGATTTTAATTTTATATTCAATGAATTAAAAGAATTTATTTATGGAATTAATCATTTAATAAAGAAATATTTACCTAACTACTCTTAGTAGAGTATTCTGATAGGCAACAGGCTTAAATACAGCACATGCAAGAGGTTTCTGTAAAAACTTGGAATTCTGAAAAGTTTGGATTCTCTGAAAGCAAGTTCTGCTGCAGATGCAGAAATGGACTAAATAGCCAAGTCCGTTTCTTTGGATAAATGTTTTGAAGGAGTATCTGCAGTCTGCAACCCCATGCTTTAGAAAGTATACGTAGAAAGAGCTTCTTGGCACTGAATGCAAATCTTTGATAGACTGAAATGTTAATTAGACTGTCAGATTATTCAAGCTGTCCTGGAATTTGCAACATAAGGTACTTCATTAGAATGCAGTGCATGCATGGTGATGTTGAACATAGGGGTGAAAATGGTCATCGGGTCTCACGTTTTTTGGTGGCTGCTTTTTCCAAATTAATACATTTCTATGGCAGAGGAATGCTTCCTACAGACTGCACGAGGTAGTTTGCTTTCACTAAATTCAAATTAAATGAGCTTGAAGCAATGACTTTTGTTAATCCTAATAACACAGTGATGAAAAGTAAACATACTGTTAACAAGAGAAGAATGTGAGGAATTTCAAGTACTAGTCCCAGAGCAGAAACTAGTAGCATTAGAGTAGAAAGCAAGGGAGCTACTCTTTTCCTCACATCCCCTTCCCAATTTTAAATATGTAATTACACTTTATGTTGTGGGACACAGAGGACATTTGGCTAAGCAAGGGAGCTCGCTGGCATGCAGTAAAAAAAAAGGCATTTAAAGAAATTAACTAGAGCAGGATCTGAGAAAGCATCCAACATAGTACACTTCTGGTTAGCCTAAAGCTGTGCTACACATAAGACTGACAGGAAACCTGCAACAGAGTATTATTTTCTTCTCCTTGTGTGGGTATTTCTCTGTCAAAATATTCTCCCACAGTCTTTAATAAGAAAGATACTACTTATAAAAAAGAGCCTGATTTTGAGGTTTTAGAATTGTGAAGGGGTGTCATCCAGTGTCATTAGTTACAAGCAGAATTGGTTAAGGGTCAATTTTTTTATTAATTAGACATAAATATCTCAAGAAAATAAATAGCCAAATATCTCAGAAACTTATCTCTGGCAGCTAATGCTTTGTCTGAGAAATTACAGCCTTCCCTCTTTTCTGCTCAGTCAAGTTTTCTCCCTGAAGGCTTTCAAAAGTTGAGCTGTTTTGGAATTCACCACCTGGCCACCAGTCTCAGCTGTACCTAAACTTGTCTGTACAGTATTTGTTGACAGCAGAAGGGTAAAACACAAGGAAGCACTTTTGTTTGGCTTCTATGTAGATCCAGCACTAAACAGTTCACAACATCAGCTGCTCGCTGGGAAACCACCAGGTTTACACACTGGGTTACTGTCGGGCAGGGATACACTGCTCCCAGACACCCAGCAGCTGCAGGCATTCCTCGCCATCGCCACTGTCACCCACACTTGAATGACATCCATCTTCACACCAACGTAAGTCACAGCTCCCCAAAAATCACACGTACGTGTGGCTGTACTGCACACAGAGACGTGGCTGTGACACACGTCACGGACAAACAGCGGCCCTGCCGACCCCGGCCCCGAGTGTGGTCCCAGCCAGGCCCCGGGCTTTACAACCTGCCCTTTGGTTTTATCATCTTACGGGGTGCTTCTGTACCCTGCTCACTGGAAACAAGGGCTGTAGAGGCAGGTCAGATAAACAAAATATACTACGTGAAGTTATCCTGATGCAAAAAGAGTAAAATGAATCCCACTAAAAAAACCTGCAAGTCTTTCGAAGCGCGCTGTCACACCGACTGGTCATCATCCATATAGTCCTCTCTTCTATTTTGCATTTCACAATTACATGGCAAAACTACTTTTACCACACTATAAAGGGAATCACTGTCATTTTTTGTGTGTCATCTTTGTACTTGCTTTGAAACCTTTACATTCTCTGTTATTCCAGCAGAATAAAAAAAAACCCCTAAGTAGTGGGTTTGGATATATAAAGGATTGTAAACTCAGATTCCATGAAGTGAAGCAGCAGGGCTTACAGGTTAAAGGTTCTTTACAGGTAAAGTAATGAGCACATCTATAATTGTATTTCTTGTCAAAAAACTAAAATATCAATATACTGCTTCTGGAGGAATACTAGGAGATGAAGAGTTAGGAACATGATAAATATTGTACATAACAAAAAGCTATGCATTTGGAATGAATTCAAACCCTGAAGTAAAGCCACCAGCACGGTGTGGAGCTCCCCGGAGCTGGGCAGAGCCGGGGGAGTCCCGACACGCCAGGAGGGAGCGCGGCACTGCCTGAGGCCCCAGCGCAGGCTGCAGCACTGTCCCCTCCACAGCAGCCCTGCTCCAGCCACCCTGCCTGTCCCCTGGCCTGTGCCCCGTCCTTCGCTGCTCCCCTCCCAGCCGCTGGCACCGGCACGGGGTACTCGGCCGGATCCGGTGCTGCCGCCACAAGGAGCGTTTCTCACACTACAGGTTTGGGATCGAAGGAACGCGCAGCCTTGTGTTTCCCCACGCTTATTTCCTTGATGGTGGGAAACGCTGTAATATCGAGGTTACACAAAATCTTCCCTACTATTAGTGAAGACAAAATTTCGGCTTCCATAAGTGCTCCATGACAAGAAACAAAACAAAAGCAGACAGACTTCCATGACTACACCAAGTTCTTGTGGGATGCTGCCAGCTCGCTCCTCTGAAGCAGCAGCAGGTGGAGGTAAAGCCAATACTGTACTGACAGTGGGACAACTGAACTACTACTGAACCCTCGTGGGGCTGAAAGAATCTCTTTATCCACACATCAGTTACTGCAGAGCCCACGGCAGATCAGTCCCCTGGGCTGCCTGGCCCTCCAGCTGCCACCGTGTGGAACAGGCCCATCTCCCTGCTACTCATGGGCAGCCACCGGGATACCCAGGAACAGGCAGGCCCTGTGATCAGTGGGACTGCTGCAGGAGGATTTCCAGTCCACTGAACCTGCATGAATCCCTCACACATTTTGAGGACTGAAACAAAAAAGTTTGCAGTGGGCAGTCATTACTGGCTGGAACTCAAACCTACCTACCCACACAGAAGCAGTTAAATGTGTCACACCAGAGGCTTGCTCTTGCCAGATGCTTGCCCTTCTGAGATGATCCTGCAGAAATGCATGTGCACAATTTAGCTCACTTGTTTAATCAGTGAAACTATTTCGATGCAGGGCTCCAAGTGCTCAGCACACAGCAAGGGAAGGCTGTACAGTTTTACCAGCTGCTCTGCCTCAAGACAGCTCCTTTCATGTAGACATGTCCCCATTTTCACCTTCACAGTTTTTTTCTGCATATTACATAGCCACAAATAAAACAGCACACAGAAACAGGGAGGTGTCACAGTGAAAGCAGTAATCTATAACTAGCTTTGGAGGTACTTAGAAATGCACTCCAATGCACAACTAAACTGCATTAAACTGCAGTGAGACTTGGTATTTAGAAAATATAAATCCTGCAAAAAAGAAAAAAAAAAAATACTCCAACCAACAGAATGATACAATAAGCATCTCTCTATCATGCTGTAAAGACCAAACACCAAGAAACTGAATAGATGGCATCCACTATGCTATGGTTCCCCCCATAAAACTACACAGCTATGATTTCTATGTACACAATTTATATTGGAGAAGATCCTGAAAGACCCCAAGGCACCATTCACATAAGCAACTTCATCTGTCTTGAAGTACAACCACTTATGAGATGGAATGTAACAACCATCCCAGAGGAAAACATTACACAATTTTTTGGTAAGTTTTCATTTTCTAGTCAGAAGAACTTCAAAGATGGGGTGAAACCATTTGCCATTTGCCCAGATGGGAATCCAGCTGGGACATACACATTAACTATTTCACCTCCTGACAAATGGCAGCTTGAGTCAGAATGAAGAGACTCAATTTACGTGAGTGAAACAATCAGCAGTAGCCCAGCAGTGTTTTGAGACTACTGAATGTCAGATCAAAAGAAGCCCAGTGTACCAGCCAAGTCAAAGACACTAGTTTCTCTGAAACTACTCATTTCCTTCAGCATCTCAAACCAACAGGTTTGAGAACAACTCCTACTTAATCTATTAACTTGACACAATCAGACATCAAGATGTCATGGCTGTAAAACCAGCAGTCTGTTAGGAACTTGAAACAGGAAAATGCATTTTTCTCTAGGGGTAGGTGTTTGTGCTGCAGTGGAACAATGCTGCTAAAATCAATGTGGATGCCCAAGCACAGCTGAAAGTAGAGGCTGGGAAAAAAGGTCAACAAAGAGGTATGACTGAGAATTTAGATCACAGAATCACAGAAATGCTAAGCTGGAAGAGACACAACAGGATCATCAAGTCTAACTCTGGGCCCTGTGCAGGAAACCCCAAGAGTCACACCATGTGCCCAAGAGCATCACCCAAACACGTCTTGAACTCTGGCAGGCTGGTGTGGTGACCACTGCCCTGGGGAGCTGTTCCAGTGCCCAAACACCCTCTGGGTGAAGACTTCTCCTGATACCCAGCCTAAACCTGCCCTGACTCGGCCTCAGGCCATTCCCTCGGTCCTGTCCCTGTCACTGAGCAGAGATCAGGGCCTGCTGCTCCTCTTCCCCTCACGAGGAGGTTGTGACTGCAGTGAGGTCTGCCCTCAGTCTGCTCCAGGCTCGACAGACCCAGCGCCCTCAGCTGCTCCTCACAGCTTCCCCTCAAGGCCCTTCACCATCTTTGTTGCCCTCCTCTGGACAATCTCTAATAGTTCAATGTCTTTCTTACATTGTGGCACCCAAAGCTGCCCCCAGCACTGGAGGTGAGGCCACCCCAGTGCAGAGCAGAGCCGGACAATCCCTCCCTGGCCTGGCTGGTGATGCTGTGCCTGATGTCTCCAGGACATGGCTGCCCCTGCTGGCTGCGTGAAAGTGATGGGGACTTCTTGGCAAGCTTCTAATGCCACCCATCCATTCTTTTTTGTTAGTATCTACACCTCATCCACTGACTT